TTATTACCGCCTTATTTCCGACAAAAATATTACCTTCAACTGCTCCTGCCATAACTCTCTTATATTTTGGTCTTCCTACACTAAAAATAAAAAGAAAAAAGTAATTAAAAAAATGTTAGATAAAATATTTAAAATATGTTTTATTAATATATTTTATTATTATATATTCAATTCATTTATATTAATATATTTATATAATTTATACTATGATGGAAATACAATATTAGGAATATCATCTCCTGCAAAACCAGATTTTATATATCCACTCCCATTATCAATTATTATAGGCTGATTAGAATATATTTGATTATCATATTCATTCATTCTACCAATAATATATACTTATAATGAATATATATTTTATTTTTATTTTATCCTTTTTTTTTTTCTTTTTTTTTATATGGAAAAGTAATTTATTTACAAAAAAAAAAAAAAAGGAAAAAATACCATTTATATTAATAATTTTGAAAATATATTAAAATAAATAAATAAATTTCCATAATACAAAAACTAAAAGTGTTTTTGTAAGAATACTATATATCTACATATATATACTCATAAAAAAAAGAAATTTTTTTTAATATACCTTTTCTCTTAAAATAATTATATATTAATAAACAAATTAGAATTTTCTTAAAATACGAACTACATATATAAATATAAAATAGAACAATTTATGTGTGCACTTATGTGTGTGTGTGAAAAAGTAAAATAGGAAAATAACAAATAATATAAAAGAACTATAACAATTGTAAAGGTAAAATTTCACATATATACAAACATACATATAAGTTGTTAAAATTATTTTCAAATTTTTTAAAAAATATATATATGTATGCTTTTTAAATTGCTTTTATTATTTTTATAAAAAATTTATTCCCTATATTTTGTTATATATCAAAAAAAAAAAAAAAAAAAAAAAAAAAAAATACATATGCATATGCATATACATATATATAATGTAAATATAAAAAAAAAAATTGTTATAAATATTAAATATAGTAATTTTTATGAAAAAAAAAAAAAAAAAAATCTAATTATATATAAACCATCGAAAGAACTAGTAGATTTTGTCTGAAAATATTTATATTTCTTTTTAAGTATATATTTTTTTTTAGCCTAAAAAAGTTTTTATAATTTGGGATTTGAATATCAATGTACGTAAGTAGCATTATGTATATTTTTAGAATATATAATATTTTTTCATATTTGTATTTTTTTCTTTATTTTTTTAATTTTATTTAATTTTTATATTGATTTAGTTGCTATTGCATTCTTATTCTAGTTTCATTTCATTTTTATGATATTTATTTTTCCTTTTTGTTTAATTTTTATTTTTATATTATTATATTCTTTTTTTTTTTTTTATAATAAAATATATTTGTAATTATAATTATTACAAATTGTTTGTGCGTTTATAAATTTAAAAAATTAAAACTTAAATTTTCTATAAAAAAAAAAAATTATTTATATATATTTATTCTTTTAATAGTTTTCTGTTTTAAATCAAGAGATAATATTAAAAATAAAAGTACACTTAAAAGTTTTAGATTATCAACATTGTTAAATATTAAAAATATATTTAAAAGTGTGATTATTAAAATTAATATATCTTATATATTTTATCTAAGATAAAAAAAAAAAAAAAAGAAATTAATATTTACTGGAATAGACAAAAAATCTTAAAAAAAAAAAAAATTAATATATAATATTTATCTTATTTTCTGTGTCATTTTTATCTTTAAAAATATGGTAAACCTAGAATTTTTACAAAAATAATCTACAAGAAATCTTTTTATTTTTTTTTAATTGAGTATTTTTTTTTTTCTGATTAATAATTAAAATAACAACAAACCTATTATCTATCTTCATATTATGGAGAATTTAAAATTAAATATATTTAAAGGAAAAAAAAAAGAAATAATATTTTTATTTCTGATATAATTCACTTAAGATATTTTTATGGAAAATATGATTTAATTCATATATTATTTTTTAGTTTTTTTTTTTTTTTATTTATTTTATAATATATATGTATAATTTATAAGTGAATATTATCAAATAAGCATAATTCTCCAAGACAGCATTTTTTTTTTTTTTTTTGCAACTGTATAATTAAAAAAAAAAATTGTGTATTTTATTTTTGGATAACAAAAAAGTAGTAAAATTATTTTTATGTTATTCTTTTTAACATTTTAGATAAATTAAAACTAAGCTTCTTATTTTTAAATTTTCCATCATATTTTGCTTCTTTTTACTATCTTAATAAAATAAACACAAAAAGCATTTTTTTTTTTTTTTTTTTCTTTAGAGTAATTTTTATTAATTTTTATAATTTTAATTATTTTTTTTTATTAATATATGAAAAAAATAATATTTTTTTCTTCAGAATATTAAAAATAATGATGATACTCATTCAAACATAAATAAATATGTTTTAACATAATATTTATCATCTTCAAAAATGTATAAAATACATAAAAAAATAAGTTGTATTTTAAATTCATTAAAGAGAGTTCTAGAAAAAACTTTTTCGATTATAATTTATCCTTTCATAATATAAAAAATCAATTTGTTTAAAGAATATTATAAATTTCTCATAAAAATTGATAATATTATTTAAAAAATTATTTTAAATGATTGTTCCGTTTTTTTTTTTTTTTTGGTTTTTTCAAATTAATACATGTAAATTCTTTTTTTTTTAATTAAATTTAGACCTTTTTTCTCATTTTTTATTTTTTATTAGTATCTATAAAAAGGAAAAAAAAAAAAAATTAATTTCTTATATATTTAAATTTTGTTTAAAATTTTTTTTTTCTTACATCATTATCAACTTTGTATATATGTTATATATTTTAACTATTAATATTTTGTGAGAAAAAAAGTATATATATATATATATATATATATATTTTTCTTGTTTGTTTTTTTTTATTATTAATGAGTTAATTACATTTTTTTAAAGTTAATTTGTTTAAATAAAATGAAAAATTACATAATTTTATATATTTTAATTGTAGTAGTTAGCATTTTTTTAAAAAGGTGTATAAACGAAACGCGGAATACAAATTACTTGCCTTTACATTCGTTTAAATCTCCATTTACCATAAATGATTTAAATAATGGATGGATTTTAGATTATTCAACAACAAGCACAAATGAATATTTAGTTCTAATACCTAACGTATATAATAGAAGAGGTTTATTATATCATGATAAGCCTATTATATCAGATAGTTTATTTATAGAATTTAGCTTTTATATACGTAAAAAATATTACAAAGAATCTTTGGATGATAAATATTACCAAAAGAATGATACCAAACCCATAGATTATAAAACAAATATTGAAGAAGAAAATAAAACAAATGGTTTTGGTTTATGGATATTAGAGAATGAATTTTCAATAAAAAATGCAAATAATGAAAATAATGAATTAGATGAAAATGAATTCATTTTGTATGGGTTAAAAAAAAGATTCAATGGTATTGGTATTTTTTTTCAATTAAAAGGTAATGAATTAATCGTATCTGGTTTTGTAAACAACGGAAGTAACGATATAAGTGTAAATGAATCAGTTGTAAAAAGTCACAATTTTAATTCATTACATTTTAATGGTTTAATAACTGTAAGGGTAAGTTTACAGAATAATGAAATTAGTGTATCCTTCCTTGATTCAAAAAATTCTGAATTTCAACAAAGTATATCTATAAAAAATCAAATTTCTAAAAAAAATTATATTGGTTTTAGTGCTTTTAACTTCAAAGAAGATGAAAACATACCATTAACGAATGTAAATAAATATGAGCCTACTTTTGTAGGTATAAAGGAACTTCGCATTTTTACTAATTATTTAAATGAAGAAAACGAAAGGAATGAAGATGAATTATTGAATGATAAGAATAAAAACGATATATCTGCAAATGATTTAAATAGTTCAGTTAATGATATATTAAAAGAATTATCACCTCATCAAGATCAAATAAATCATACTGAAGCTTTAAAAACTTTAACAAAAATATTTCAAAAATTCATGGTTTATCAAATAAATTATGAAAAAAAATTATTACAAAATATTGATACAATGAAAGATAAAATACAAATCATGCAATCTGAATTAAAATTGATAAAAAAAAGCTGCATAAATAAATCAGAAGATCCAAAGCATTTTCAAAAAATATTTACAACAGAATTAAGTGGTTTAAAAAATTTATTTCATTCTCACACACAGCATCATAGAAAAAACATTGAAGATATCACCAATAAATTAACTAAGAAAATAGATAATAACCAAGAATTAAAAATGCTAGCTGAAAAGGCAGAAAAATTAGAAAACATAATAAACAAAGGAAATAGTACTACTTATATTTTTTCAATAGGTTTTGCTGGTTTAATAATTACAACTCTAATTTTAATTTATAAGAAAATAAGAGATGTAGAGAAAAAACATATTCTATAAATATATATGTATTTTATTTACTTGTTTTTTTGATTTTTATATTATTAAATAATAATTTTTTTTTTTAAATTTTTATCGCATACAATTGTTTATATATTAAATAATAATATTTTCCTTTTATATTATTGTACTTTAATTATTTTATTATTTTTTTTTTATAAATTTATATAAAAACCCACTTTTTAAAATATCGTATTAACAGTTCATCTTTTTTTTTTTTTTTTTTTTTTTTTTCAAATTTCCCTTTTCTTTCATTTATCATTTTAATGAGGAAAAAACATAAATTACATAATTAAATATAGAAAAACAAGGAAAAATTATAAATTAGGTAACCCTTAAATAATACAATAACAGTTTTTATTATATTTCACTTATAAAATGAAAAAGGTGATTATTGTAATAGTTAATAAAATGTATGTCACTTTATTTTCTTAAGCTTCTTTATGAATATGCATTTATTTGTAAGTGATTGAATTTAATACTTTTTTTCAAAAATGCATTTCTTCTTTTTTTTTTTGTACCAAATTTTATAAAATACATAAAGTATTATAATATTTTTTTCTTATTTTTTTTTTTTTTTTTTTAGTTATTTGTTCTGTAAATTATATTTCAAATAATTAAGGAATTGTATAATATACCTATTGAGAAATAAGTTGCAATTTATATGAGCATATTAGTGAAAATTGTCTTAAATTACAACTTATTTGTTTTGGATTATTTTTAATTTGATAAATCTTAATGTGCTATTTTCTTATTAATATACAACTTATTTATGAATGATATAACAAAAAAAATGTTTTATGAAACAATTATTTAAAAAAATTTCAAGGATAAAAAATAATAGTGAAGTTCTTATACTTTTTTTATCAATTTGGAGATTTTGTAATGTAAAAATGTTAAATTTTTAAAATTAAATGACCATTTTTAATTTACAACTATTATTTTATGTAGATATTATTTTAATAAAACTTTGAATAATTCAGATCATTATTTGCATGAGGTAATATGAAATGTAATTTTGAAGAAAAATAAATGTTTTCTAATATTTTTAACTTACATTTTAAATTAATTTTTTCTCTTTTAAAATAATTAAATAAAATTTTCTTTTTATCATTTATCTTATTTTATTTTATGAATATTTCTTTCTTTTTTGTCTTAAAAAAAAAAAAAGTAATAAAATATTACATCAACATAATATAATCAACCAAATCAATAAAAATAGAGAAAAGAACAAAAATATGATCTGTTCTTGTAAGCATTTATGCATGTAGAACAAATTAATCTCATTGTCTCCCTATTTCAAAATTGTGAATTATAATTTTTGTGCAACATATAAAAAGGCTTTTTTTTTTTTTTTTTTTTTAAATGTAAATTTCATTTTTACAAGTTTAAATTATTTTTATTCCTTAATGTTACAAAAAGGAAAATTTAAAAAAAAAAGAAATATAAACTAATAGATTAATTTTTTTTTTTTCAAAATATAAATAAAAAGAATAAAAATTTTACAAAATTGTTAAAGGCTTTTTTTTTTTTTTTTTTCTATGCATTGTAAACACACTTATGGTTCAAAATGTTGATAAATATCTCCATATACTTTTTCTTATTATATTTATTTAAATCACACTTAAGTAAATCTTAAATTTATAAAAAAAAGAAAAAAAGAAAAAATTTTTATTTTTTATCAGATTATTTCACAATAAATTTGTTATATTTTTTTTTTATACAGATTCTATTTTTGGTTACAATGATAATCCTTCAATAAAATTTATTGAACCAAACAAGTAATTAAAATTTCTTTTTTTTTTTTTTTTTTTTAAATTAAAATTTAAAAAAAAAAATGTACATTCTTCCTTTATAGAAATACACTACAAATTTCTATATAAAAAAAAAGTCTCATATAATATTTATATATATAATATTTTTCTTATTTTTTTAGATTATTATATGATGATTCTGTTATAAAAAATAGAATATTAAAAGAAGACAATCCTCATTGTGAACATTGGTCTGAGTGGACAAGTTGTTCAAAAACATGTGATGTTGGAGTTAAAATGAGAGTAAAAACTAGTAGCAACAAGGATTATTTTGAAGAATGTTCTAAAATTAGTGAAACTAGTATTTGTTTATTAAGGAAATGTTCTGAATCTGATTATGAAGGAAATGAATATGAAACAAAAAATTACGAAAAAAAAAAAGAAAAAAAGAATAGTATTTTAAAAAAATATCTTTTAATTTTTGGTATTATTTCTGTTGTTAATATTCTATTGCTATTAATATGTGTAATTGTATCACTTAAAAAAAAAATTATATAATTTTGTTAGTAATATTTTGAATATAATTTAATTAGAAGAATAAAAATATATATATATATATATATATATAATTTTCTGTGATTCTGTTATTTTTTTTTTAATTCTTTATATTTCAAACTTTATGTTTTTTTAGGGTCATATGTATATCCCAATATTTTAATATTTTCTACATACATATCTTTCTTGCATTTTTTTTTTTTTTTTTTTTGATTCTTTTTCAATATGTTTATTATATATTCATTTTTTTTTTTTAATTATTTAAAAATTGCAACTTTTGTAAAATTGCGATGTTCTAACATTTTTTCAATAGAGAAGTAAATTTTATGGTTATTGATTATTTAATATATCCTTTTCCAGCATAAAATTGTTATTAAAATTAATATTTCTAACTATTCATTTTTTCATTTATTTTTATCCATAAAATAAAATTATTATTCTGATTATTGTGGTTATTTATATACTTAAAAAAAGAAAAAACAATCTACATTAGTAAACTTTAATTTTAATATAAACAGATAAGTGTATTTAAAAAAAAAAAAAATAAAATAAATAATAATAAGATGTAACGATAAAAAAGAAATTCAAAGATAATAACAAAAAAAATTATTTTTGAATTTTAATAAATAATTCCTAAAATTTAATAATTTTAATATATTATCATATTAATATAAATTCTTGTAGAATTAAAAATATATAGCATATGTTAATTTGTAACTATATATATTAATTTAGTTGATGAATATTAATACAACAATATTTATAAATTAAATTATAAGAAAAATTCATTTATAATTCTTGTAAATAGGAAGAATTTTAAATAAATATCTAAAACAATAATTTATAAATTTATAAAAAGTTTCCATCCAAAAGAAATATTATTATATAATGTATACCCTATCTTTGTAATAAAATTATTAACAAAGTTTTTTTTAAAACAATTTCCAAATTTTTTTTTTAAAAACTATTAACTCTTTGATAAAAGATAAAAGTTGTTTGTATTACTATAATTTTATAGAAAATTTTTATCATTATTATGATATTAATTTTATTAATGTAAGATTTTTCTATATTTTTTAATAGGAGAAGTATGAACATTATCAATATTACTATTATCATTAATTTCATTTGTTAATTCATAATAAGAAATAGAATTTAACATAGACTTTGTACAATTTAAACATCCAAATTTTTTTTTCATATTTTTTTAAAATTTAATCTAAATAATCAAGCTAATTTAAGTTATCTCTGAATATGCAAGTAGTAACGTTTTTCCTAAAAACTTTTTCTAAATCTATAAATGCTTTTTCTTTCTTTATTTCTTTTTTACTTTCATTTTTTCTGTAATAAATATACATATCACCAATACTGACATCTTGAATTTTTTTGTTTATAATCTTTCTATTATGTAAATTACTTTGTGTAATAAAGTCTATTATTTTTTTTTCTGTTTCATTTTTAATTAAAGCATCTTCATGGTATTTATTTGCTGCATCTATGAAGTATTTAAAATCAAAAATATTAGAAAATACGTTTTTTTCAAGAAAATTCATTTTTTCCTTATCATCTAACTTTTCTTTCCCATTTTTAGTTTCTAAATTATTTTTACATAAATTTAATTTAGAATTTTTTTTTTGAATATAATTATTTTGAATTTCTATTTTTCTTTTTAATTTTTTATGTATTTTCATAAAATTTATATGAGCTTTTATAAGCATTTCACTTAAATCAAAATGTTCCACAAAATTCTCTGTATCATTATGATTTTCATCAAGAATAATATTTAATAAAAAAAAATTGTTATAATCGCAAAGAGTATTTTTTTCTTTATTTTTTGTTGTAATATGATGAGCATAAGTGTTTTCTAATTTAATTACATCTAATAAATCATCTTCTTCTTCTATAAATATGGTTTTACAACTTTTGTTTTCGATTAAATTATATATCTTATATATCTTTTCCTTTAAATTTCTACTTTTGTAAATTAAAATAGTATTAATATAAATTGGAATAATTATTGAAATAATACAATTTATATCTCTCATTAATAAATAAAAAAAAGCATTATTAAGATCCACTGTGTTTACATTTTCAAAATTATATAATATGACACCTTCTGATAAATTCTTAATAGAGTATTTGTATGAAAATAAAGAAAAAGAATACAAGAATTTTTCTAAATATAAAAACAGGAAAAATTGAAACTCTTGTGAACTTATGTGTTTATGTATATGCAAATTTAAAAAATCTTTTATATTTAATTTAAATATTGGATATATTTTACTATTATCTATAAAAGTATTATTAAAACATTTTTCAAAACATTTAATTAACTTATAAGTTATTTCTTTGTTTTCATATAAATATAAACATTTTTTGTTCATCTCACAATATATTTCCATTTCTTTTATTAGATCACTATATTTCGCAAAATGTATTTTATTTCCATCATTTAAAACACTTTTTTCTCCTCTTAAATAAATTAATTCATTTATTTTATGAAATATATTTAACATTTTTTTTTCATTAGATATTTCAAAAATATCTAAAGTATAATTAAGAGTTTTATATATAAGTTCTGAAAAAAAAAAAAAAAAAAATAGAAAAAGTCTATTTAAGTAACATTTTAAGAATTAAAAAGAAATAAACGAATAACTTTTCTAGTAATATGATTTACATATATAAGATATTTAAAAAAAAATAAAAAGAAATTTTATATTTTTGAAATATTTTTAAAAACATATATATATTTACGAATTTGATGTTCTCATATTTTTTTTTTTTTATTCCTTCTAAATAGAATATATATATTGCATGGTTAGTCTTTTACTTATATATCTCACCATTGGTTTTTAGCAGGGGTACCATTTTAAAAAAAAATACCTTATAAAATAAAATAAATATAGCTATTTAACTATATTTAAATATAATACATTGTATATAGAAAAAAAAAAAAAAGTTGATTATATAAGTAATTGAATTCAAGTTTTTCAATGTATATTATTATTTTATTTTTATTACAGTATAAACAATAATAAAAAATAAATTTTAAAAATAAGCCATACATATATATATTAAAAACAAGCAATGAAACTATTCATTCATAGTAACATTTAACTAAATATTGTTTTTATAATTTTTTTGGACAAAAATTATTTATACATTCTATTCATATTTTCCATTTTTTTTAAAAATAAATTTTGTATATGTTAATTTTTTTTTTTTTTCTAAATAATTAGACAAAAGAAAAAGACACTCGAATAAATATGTTTGTTTTTATAAAAATCCTTTTAAAAATGTAATTTATCCTAAATATACATAATATAATTAAAATTATTAACAAAAAGGAAGAAAATTTTATTTCTTATTAAAGCTTTTTTTTTTTTTTTTTTTTTTTTTTCGA